GGTGGGCGTGGGGGGAGAAATCCTACAGATTGCAAGGTGAGGTCTTCTGTTTCCCCTTCCAGGAAGAAGAAGAGGATGCTGTCTGGCCTGAAGAGGTACCCGGAGAAAAGCCACCAGGTGAGCTACGAGGAGCGGCTGCCCTTTACGAGGACCCCCAGTTCCAACCACAAGACACCGATCATCCCCTCCTCTCCTTCTCTAAAGCACGGGGAGATACTCATCGAGTGGAAAGACGGGACCGTCACCCCGCTCTTTGACAACATGAGCTATCCCATCTGCTAAATGTTGCTTCTGCCGAAATCTATCGCTTCCGTGGCACCGCCTTCCCAACGGACCATTTAATCTGCAAACGGGGCATGAGGCACTTCTCCGGAGCCTCCCTCGTTCAACTAATAGCCTTGACGAGAAAGCAGGTAACAAATATTCTCACAGACGGCCGATTGCGTTTGCTGCATGGATAGATGTAAGACTTTTATGTCTCGCCCAACGGATGCTCAGATTTCTCCAGTGTGCTTGGGACGTTCCCTGACACCTTGCTGGCAACTCTGAGGTGGTACAGTCCTCTGGAGGGAACAGTCCCACCTCAGTTTCACACAGGGGACCTCAGTTTCACACTGGGAAAGCATTTACCTTGCATTGCAGGAGTGCCTCTATTGAGGTTGAGGGCTGAATTTTTTTAACCCGTCAATCTGGTATGATAAATCCTGCTGCAATACAGGTCTCCCAAATGCATACACTTTGGAAAGGTTGGCCACCGAGTGCCTTAACAGTCTCTTCATCTTTCTGCCTTCGCCTTGTGAGTCTTCCTTCTCCGCAGAGGGTTCAGTTAGCATTGGGAGGCTATGGGGAAACCAGTACCTCTGGCTCCATAAAACAGGTGGGGGAGGCACCTATGCTGGTCATCTGTAGGCCCAAAGGCGGTGTGTGGGGGAAAGAGAACCAGGTTTTTTTGGTAAAGTTCCCCAGCCTGGTCTCCTGGATGGTATTTCTACTCGCCCCAGGTAACCAAGAAAGGGGCTTATTTACCATCCTGTCTCAATAAGTAGGTAAAGGGTCTTTGAGATGGGGCTGCCAGTCTCGTGTAGCTATATTTCCTTTTCGGGAGGCTAAGGGGGGTCTGTACAGGTGAATACGATCACCTCTCAACTGGAAAATCCTGGCCCAAAGCGCTTTCCACCCACCATGGGGAGCGAAAACAGAGCAGAGGGGTTGGCTAGGAATAAGCAGGTGGATGGCACACAGACGAAGGAGTGGGTTCGCGACAGCCAGTGTGGAGTAGTGGATAGACTGACCAAGACCCTGTGTGACCCAGGTTCAAATTCCCACTTCTGCCGTGGAAGCCTGGGAAGGAAGGGGGCATTGTACAGCCAGGTCCAGTGTTCCCTCTAAGCTGAGTTAGTGTGAGCTAGCTCACATTTTTTTAGCCTCCGGTGCACACATTTTTGCCTTAGCTCAGGAAGGATGGCTACACAGCAAACTAATTTATGCAGTAGCCAAATCGCTCGCTCACAATTTTAATGCCAGTAGCTCACAAAGTTGAATTTCTGCTCACAAGACTCGACAGCTTAGAGGGAACATTGGCCAGGTCTCATCAAATCTTGGAAGCTAAGCAGGGTCACTCAGTACTTGGATGGGAGACCACCAAGGAAGGCTCTGCAGAGGAAGGCGATGGCAGAGCCCCTCTGCTTCTCAGTAGCCTCGAAGGCCCCTTGCTGGGGTCACTGTAAGTCTAAGCTAAGCAGGGTCCGTACTTGGATGGGAGACCACCAAGGAAGGCTCTGCAGAGGAAGGCCATGGCCGAGCACCTCTGCCTCACTTGCCTTGAGACCCCTTGTCATGATCTGGGCTGTGCCACCAGAGGCCTACTAGGCCCAGGGAGCCTGGCTAGCAGTAGGTGAGGCTGGGCCTACAACTCCCAGAAGCCCCTGAGAGGTTTTGAAGCCAAAATTGACCAATAGGAAAAGAGGAGGGCTGGGAATAAAAGATCTGGCGCAGCAACAAGAGCTGTTCTTTTTCTCAGAGGGCAGAGCCAGAAGGAAGGCTGCTGCAGGAAGAGACCCTCATCCTGAGGGAAGGGTGAGTCGTCTAGTGTCACTTGGAATAGTGGGCTAGGGACAGTCTATATTTAGAGGCGTTAGTGCATTTGGTTTCTTTTCTTTTCACCTACTTACTGTTATATTTCTGCACCTTGTTGTTTGACCTCTTGTACAATAAACTATTTTCACTGTTCACTCTGCCTGGTCCTCACGCCTGTTATTCGGCCTAAAGGGAGCTCGTCTGAAGGTCTTGGGAGGGTGCTCTGGGCCTTCTCAAGGGAACCTAAATCCAGAGTGGTGGCAGTGTCAGGTGACACCCCACCTGAGCCATGACACCCCTTGATGGGGTTGCCATTAATTTGGTACTTGGATGGGAGCCCACCAAGGAAGGCTCTGCAGAGGAAGGCCATGGCCACCCACCTCTGCTTCTCACTTGCCTTGAGAGCCCCTTTCTGGGGTCACCATAAGTTGCTTGCAATTTGACTGCACATGCCATGGAATCTCACTGGGTGACCTCGGGCCCGTCACACACGCTCACCCTGTCCTACCTCACAGGGCTGTTGTTGTGAGAAAACAGAGGAGGGGAGAACAAATTTCTAAGCCTCTTTGAGTCCAAAGCAGGGAGAAAAGCAGGATACAAATAGATAAATGGCAAAAACATTAAGGTTTTCAAGGATAATACAATGTTTGTTAAAACACTGCACAGGATTAATACCCCCTCAAGAGATGGAAATCTGAAAGAACATCGTTAAGGGTTTCCCATGAGAGGTACTGGCGTGCAGACATTTCCTCTGTGTGTGTGAATGAGTCCCAAGCAGGGAGAAAAGCGGGATACGAATAGATAAATGGAAAAAACATTACGGTTTTCAAGGATAATACGTTGCTTGTTAAAACACTGCGCAGGATTAATACCCCCTCGACAGAATGGAAGCCTGAAAGAACATCGTTAAGGGTTTCCCGTGAGAGGTACTGGCGTGCAGACATTTCCTCTGTGTGTGTCAAATGGTCTCACCAATGTTCCCTCTAAGCTGAGTTAGTGTGAGCTAGCTCACAGTTTCTCAGTTTTTTAGCCTCCGGCTTACACATTTTGTCTTAGCTCAGGAAGGATGGCTCCAGAGCAAGCTAACCTACGCAGTAGCCAATCGCTCGCTCACAACTTTAATGCCAGTAGCTCACAAAGTAGAATTTCTGCTCACAAGACTCCACAGCTTAGAGGGAACATTGGGTATCACTGCTCTTCGCTTTTCGGTTCTGCTCCGGATCCCACTAAATCCGCCTCATATCCTGCCGTGGTCACTTATGGTCAGCTGGTGCCTTCATCCAAATGCAGTTTGTTTTAGACACAGTTCGAAATAAAGGAAACGGTCCAATACAGAATGGAATTTTTTTTTTCCCAAGGGGGGAATCTAATGTCCCATACAGGCCTGCCTTTCTTGACGTGGATCCCTCCGACGAAACGCTAGTGGCACAGAATCACAAAGGTGGAACGGTCCTTCGAAATCCTTTACTCCTACCACTGATCGATACGGGAAATCCAAAGCTAGAGCATTCCTAAACAGACGGCCAATCAAGCCTCTGGAATTAAGATCAGCATGGCCCGGGATGGAGCTGCGGTGGCTCAGTGGTTAAGACGCTGAACTGCAGGCTGTGGAAGGTCGGTAGTTCAGCAGTTCGAGACCCGAGTATGCTGCATGACGGAGTGAGCTCCCGTCTCTGGCCCCAACTCCTGCCAACCTAGCAGTTCAAAAGCAAGAAACTGCAAGTAGATAAATAGGTACGGCTTCAGTGGGAAGGTAACAGGGTTCCATGCGCCTCGGCGTCTAGTCATGCCGGCCACATGTCCACAGAAACGTCATTGGACAGCGCTGGCTCTTGGGCTTTGAAACGGAGATGAGCACCACAGCCCTAGAGTCGGATTCAGGGAAATCCTTTATGGCCTGGGATAGTCTGATTTTGGAAGTTAAGCAGGGTCAACAGTGGATAGTACTTGGATGGGAAACCACCAGGGCTATTTTTGGGCAGGAACGCACAGGAACGGAGTTCCGGCTGGCTCCCAAGTTGGCCACGCCCAGCAGGAACTCATTAGCATAATAAACCACTCCCAAGAGCAGAAACTCATTAGGATTGGCTACATTAGAGGTGTGTGGCCTAACATGCAAAGGAGTTCCTGCTATTAAAAAAGGCCCTGGGTTTTGACAACAGACAAGGTAAACAGAATAACAAGCAAAAGGTGGGTGTGGCTGGATAACCACACTTCTGGTAACATGGGGGTGTGGCCTAATGTGCTAATGAGCTGTGCTGTCAGGGGTGTGGCCCAATAGGCTAATGGGTTCCTGCTGTTGGGTGTGGCCTATTATGCTAATGAGTTCCTGCTGGGCTTTTTTCTACAAAAAGAGCCCTGGAAACCACCAAGGGAGTCCAGGGTCGCCATGCAGAGGCAGGCAAAAGCCTCCGTTCACCTCTTGCCTTGAAAACCTGATTCTGTGCTGATTCTGTGAACTCGGGCAGATCACGAGAAAGGGAGGGCAGGAAGGGTGGCATCAGGGCTTAGTTCTCGTGGCCCTTTCTTACGTGCCCAGGGAAATGCCGATTGCCACTTTGGGGTCAGGAAGCCATTGTTCAGGCCAGTTTGGCCAGGGGTCCTGGAGGGTGATGGGGTTTTTTTTTGCCCTCTTCTGGGCCTGGAACAGGGGTAACTGGGGGGGTGTGGGGGGGAGGGATTTGTGGATTTCCTGCATTGTGCTGAGGGTTGGACTAGATGACCCTGGAGGTGCCTTCCAACTCTATGATTCCATGAAATCCTATGTGGCTACCAGAACAGATGGCAGTAGGCACCACGTTGGAGACCCCTGGGCTAAATGCCTGACTCTGAGAATCTAGTGGAATGGAAGCAGGACATATCAATGCTACCTTTGTAGGAAGAGACTTGAATTTTTTTGACATTCTGTTTTTTATTCTCACGGCATTAGCAGCCCGAGTCTCCTCGAAAACACCTCCTCTGATCCCTGCAGGGCGTTCACGCCCGGGAACAGAGAAACTGATCGGCCTCCCGTATTGCGGCCTGCATGTCCTGATACCCAGAGAGCTCACAGGCCTCCTTGAGGGCCAGCCAGCGAAAGGCCTGGTGCTCTGAAGAGAGTCGGATCTCCGCGTGGTTGTCTTTCATTTCCGCCAGCCAGTAGATGACCGTTTTGGGCTTGCCTCGAACGGTATAGTTCAGTTCCTTCTTAAAGCCTTCTAGGACGGTGAACTGGCTGGCGTCCAGCCCCGCTTCCTCCTGGGTCTCCCGGAGGGCTGTCTGTAGGTCGTCTTCTCCTGGGTCGACATGACCTGATATGGGAAGAGAAAACACAGGGCTCAGAAAAGCAAACAGAGCGCCTTTGGCTTACCCTGGGGTCCTAGAGCGGTGGCACAGAGGATTTATCCTCTGATTAGTAACATCTGAGCTGAACAGTATGGCTGTCAGTTCTAGCCCCGTGTTGGTGTGAGCTATCAGCCTTGTCCCTAGCTCGCCGTCCACCCAGCGGTTCGAAAGCTTCGGCGAGTAGATAAAATGGGTACCACTCCTTAGAGAGGGTGGGCACACCAAAGACCCCCCTGGTGGGGGAGGTGTTAGCCGGCGACCAGAATGCTCAGCAAAAATCTCTTCGACTCCGAGAAGCCTGTAATGGGCCGTTCCGGCCAGGCGGTGGCAGTGCGGCGCTGCAAGACCTGGAGAAGCTGACGTCATCTAGCCAAGCCGAAGTGAATATGCCGACGGAACACGTCTGACCCTGCAGCTGAACAAACCCTCGCCGACTGTGAATGTTTGTGATTTAAAAGAT